CAGTTGGCATTTCTGTTGTGGGGTTTGCATGTTCTTCCCGTGTTGGCATTGGTTTCCTCCGAGTGCTCCGGTTTCCCCAACAAGTCCAAAGACATGCGGTACAGGTGAATTGGGTGGGCTAAATTGGCTGTAGTATTATGTGTGTGATTGCGTGTGTATGGGTGTTTCCCAGTGATGGGTTCCAGCTGCAACCCATCACTGGGAAACAACCAAACACACTCATTCACACACATAACACTACGGACACTTTAGCCCACCCAATTCACTTGTACCGCATGTCTTTGGACTTGTGGGGGAAACTGGAGCACCTGGCGGAAACCTACTCAAACACGGGGAGAGCATGCAAACTCCACGCAGAAATGCCAACTGACCCAGTTGAGGCTTAAACCAATGACCTTCTTGCTGTGCCACCGCCTTGCCTCAAGGTAGCCTTCATACTCTTTTTTGCGGAGTGGCTTCACCTGTGAGAGCTGAACCTGCCAATATCATATGCATTCCATTGGCCTATTGTTATACAAATCAGAGTGATTGGTGCTTCTAAGAGTTTCCTAAGTCGATCAACGTCTTCATTCCCTCCTTTGGGGAACAAGAGTTACGTAAGAAGACCAAGACGTTCTCTGGCTGATATTTACTCCAGTTCATCAGGAACCTCATGTGTTATCATGTGTTTGCATACAGGTGACGGATATGTCTGGATGGTATCTGACAGGAGCGGATGGGGAGGGGCTTGTGTGGGCGGAGCCAAGCAGAGAGACCGCCCATCAGGTTACTGTGAGCCAATCAGATGCTCAGACTCACCTGACAGCACCTTACTACTGGAGCGCCCCGTCTGCTTACCTGGGCAAGAAGGTGAGTCAAAGCTCTCTCTCTCTCTCACCCCATTCACACGGGGCGTCAGCGTCAACGCTTCCCATTCACTTTGAATGGGTGATGTCAGGCGTTGCCGAACTGCATTGTGGATCCGTCAGCACCGCTTCAGAGGTGTTGCTCGCTGCAGAAGTCGGGACTTCCTCAACTTTTCAAGCGCCGACGGAAGCGTCAGCCAATCAGATCGCTGTATGCAAATACACCAGCTAGACTGTGGCCTAATGCTGACTGAATTTCATTGGCTGACGCTGATATGATGATCATTTCAGCCCCAACTTCAGCCCCGCCTTCAGTCTAGCGTTGACGCTGAAGCCCCGTGTGAATGGGGCGTCTATGTGTGTGTGTGTGTGTGTGTGTGTGTCATCTCAATATGCTGATGTAAGTGGTGCTGTAATGCTGCACTTCACATGACCACAATACAGACATCATCTATCATCATTATGTTACGGGCTCATTTACCCTTTCATTTGCCCTTGATTTAACTTTAGTGCCTGCAGGGAGAGAGCGAGAGAGAGGGTGTGTGTGTGTGTGTGTGTAACAGAAGTATGAATATTAGATCAGATGTGTACACTGTACTAAAGTGTCTCAAAGTCAACAGTAGATAGAAATATAGAGAGAGGCATCACACACACACACACACACACACACACAAATACAAGCTCTCTGACACACACTCACACACATCATTAAAATTTATATATTTATTAAATTTTTTCTTTCATTTTAAGGTTTGGATATTTATAAGCGCTAGTCCTTACAGAAAATTAGCTGTGTCCCGTATCGCATACTTATGCACTATTCTGCACCATTTTGTAGTATAAATAGTGTAAGTAGTGCGTTCACACTGAAAACTCAGAGCACTTTAATCACCGGGATGATGCACTCATTCAGCCGGTAAAATGAAGTGTGTAATGATGGACACTTCACACTTAGATACTGTTTGACAGCTTGTTAGCAAGTTAGCAGGTTTGGCATGCTGTTCCGGGAGAGAACCCTGAGCTCGGAGATAGTTGAGCCCAGGGCTCCCGCCAGGTCCATAGAGCATGTGAGGGGAGTTTGAGGTCAGGTGTTCTCGAGAGCTCCCCTCGGCAAAAGAGGAAAGGAGGAGAAGGGGTAGATAGGGGGGGGGTTTCTTCGGGAAAACGAAGGTAAGGGAGTAGTTCTTAGCTAGGTTACTTATAGTGAGTTTGGATAAATCTGATTGGCTAACTAATTAGTGTAGATGAGTTGCCAGCTGCAGTCAATCATATCACGTGCTCCTCTCGAAATTAGTTTGTGAAACTTCATTTATTTTGGATGGTGATAGCAAACTTCTCCTACGAGAGTGATTATAGCGCCTCCCGATGGTGAATGCGGTTATACTCACGGCAGGTATTATTTGATAGTTTGGTCATTTATTTCACTGATTTGGTTATTTATTTCATATCAGGGAAACGGGTTTGAATTTCCGCTTAGTAAAAAAACATTAGTGCAGAATTTGTGATGACACTACACACCAGAGGTCGCGTTAGCCGAATATTTTCCGTCATTGACAGATTTTTTTCAGCAGTGACTGAAAAATCTGAAGGTGATCCGTCATTTTGATGGATTATGCTGAGGGGGATCTATTGTATTCTGTTGCTAACTGTAATTCCCACACCTGTCCAGCTGATGGCGACTGCCCTTGTTTTGCCTCCTCTTTGTCACCGCTGTGTACAGTTGCAACAATCTCACAGCAGCTGAGTGTGAGAAGTTTCTTTAAACGGCCTAATAGTTGTGATATTAATAATAAAGGTGAAAAAAGGAATTGATGCAGTGGATGATGAAGAACAAACAAACAAACATCCAGACCAGACCAGAGAAAAGCGGTGTTATTTGCAAGTTTGTCTTCCGGAATTAACAACAAAAGAAAAAAATATAGTGGGAGAGTTTAGCTGATGCGGTTAAAACAGTTAAGTCTGAACATCGCACTGTGGATTTAACAAAGAGATAGTGTGATTTATATGTGTGAAATGTTGTAGTACCCTTAACAGTCTCAGTGGCGCAGCTCGTAAAACGCAAGTCAACATGTTTTGACACAATCGAGCATGAACTCGGTTTGAATCCAGCGTCTGATGAACTCTTTCTTCTTTTTTCCCCGCTACATATCAGATTTTGCCAACTATTTATCACGAGAAAGACAAGTAGGAATCATTAATAAGTCTGTGCATCATATTTTATTTGCACATTTATTGAATGGAAATGTTTCTGATTCACGTATGCAAATTCATCTTCAGATAGTGTCTTTATAGCAATGTGCGTGCGGTAGATAGCTCAGATTACATTGGGAAAACAGGCGACCGCTGCAAATTGCGCTTTAATGTTTGGCTGGTCAACTGTATGGTATGGAAATCTTATATACCAGCTAGATGAACCCGTCTCATACAGCTGCCATTGCAAGGCTCAGACACTTTGTAGTGGGCAATTTAACACAACTGCCTCTAGGAGTCGCCAATGGAAATAAAACAGACACGCACAAAAAATGTGCGTACGCCAGCCATGAAGCTGCCGTGGAGCTGCGCACATTCCCACGTTCGGTTCATCGTTAGTAAATCCAAACGTGAGCGATTCTGAGCGTGAAACCTGGCGTACGCAAAGTTTTTGTGTGTACGCAGCGTTGATACATGAGGCCCCAGGGCTGAAAAGTAGTCCGAATCCGGCCCTGCTACTTAGCCTTATGATGCTTTTAGGAAACGCAGCCCTGATCAACCCAACACCAGTACTTTATTTAGAAAGGTTTCATTAGAGACTTTTGTAGGCTACACCGAGAACGTCAGACTTCTTCTGTGTGTTCATTTAACCACATGCAATCATGTGAACAATTTAGTGGCATTTCTATGTGCATTTTTCTGAAACCACGCAAACATAAAAAAACACACGGGAAACTATTGAAGCAAAGTTTGAGCAAATAATACGCTGAAATCAATGTCCACAAAAGCACAGTACAGTGTGGCTTTTTTCCCCCCACAATTGCACATAATCTCCATCACACCAGCTGAAACGCCAATCCACGAGTGTGAAATCCACCAGTGAACACTGCAAAAACCCACCATTTCCAGCTAATGTGTACTTTCTCCACAGCAATTTAAGCTCTCGGTGGACAAAAAAAAAAATGTCTGAAAGTCTGCAGAACGAAGCTGGTCTCTTTTTAACATCCGCTTAACAGAGAGGCGGTTGCCATAGAGATGAGCACCAGACACCTGTCACATGTTACTGGATGTAAACAGCTAATTCAAATGAACTTGTAGGATCTAACCTTTAAAACGGGGAAATGAAAAACAGTCACATTACCACTGAGGGGTCCAGAAACGAGTCTTGTGCGTGTCAACGTGACATTCTTCTGAAGGGAAAGCATCAGATGTCGCAGTGTTAAACAAATAAACAAACGGCTCAAGACTCAGGCATGCAATGTGAACTGTACATCACAAATATAACAGTAAACCTCATGAAGTTTTTGAGTCATATTGCAAACAATTGGGGAAAAACATTAAATGAATTATATATATTTAAGATGAGCAAATGTCCGTTTTACAGAGGCATTAGGATTGTTAGGTTTTTTTAGGTTGTTTGGGCAATGTGAAATTTGCAAAACTTGCAAATGAATGAACAAACAAGCATATACAGTTGAAGTCAGAATTATTCGCCCCCCTTTGAATTTATTTTTTTTTTTAATATTTCCCAAATGATGATTAACAGAGCAAAAAAATGTTCACAGTATGTCTGACAATATTTTTTCTTCTTGAGAAGTTTTATTTGTTTTATTTCGGCTAGAATAAAAGCAGTTAATAATTTTTTAAAAGCCTTTTTAAGGTCAATTTTATTAGCCCCTTTAAGCCAATTTTTTTCCGATATGGAACAAACCATCGTTATGCAATAACTTGCCTAATTACTCTAACCTGCCTAGTTACCCTAATTAACCTAGTTAAGCCTTTAAATGTCACCTTAAGCTGTATAGAAGTGTCTTGAAAAATATC